AAAAATTTGAAGCAACATATGAAACCACTGAATGCAACATGATAGTAAAGTTGAATGGATGTAGTAAAGCCTATCAAGCCTAACTGGGAAGATAAATGATGTCAAAATTGCCATTATTAAGGATAATGCTTTGACAGGAAATGTTTATTGGAGAACAGTGACAGTGGGAAATGAAATTACCAGAAACATACATCTGGCTTAGGGTGGTGACATGACATTGTTTGAAATAAATATTGTAAGCCAGAAGGTCCTGTGGACCTTGGTTATCTGGAGTAATAGAAAGCAGTTACACCTACAATCTTACTAATCAGATGAGGGATTTGAAAAAAATTCTGAAGAGTACAAAGAAGTTAGTAGAGGAATGCCATGGTGAAATTATTTTACCAGCCATTCAAAAATACAATAATCATCAAAGAAGACATTTTATGAGGCATGGAACAATCCCAAGAGACTCCAAACTATAATTCAAAGTCAAATTCTTTAACTCGCACTGTATTGTGTAATACAGTCTACTGAAGAACATTTCATGCTGTTCAAGATACACAGAAGAATATTTGATACAGTATTCGAAAACTCCTCCCTATACCAGCAATGCAGGACACCAGAGACAGTGTGGACTTATGATGGCATGCACAATATTGATGCAAATGGTTTAGATGATGAACTGAAAACTTTTTAAAGATATATTTCAGCAGTATCAACTCAAAAGCCTGGTCTGGAATATAGATGCACATAATATAAGCATTCTTTTTCCAAATGATTTTGTTGAACACTTTTAACACATATCAGTGGACAATGCATCTTTTCAAGCTGAAATTAAAAATATATCTATGCTTCATAAGCATGGTACTTAAAACTTAAAATTTTTGAAGAAGTATTTAAAATTGTTAATTCTTTTTTATTGATCTAGATACTAGAGCAGTACCATGAGAAGACTTGGACAGGAAGAAAGCAGAATTAAAATATTTCATTGTTGTGGCCCAAGGGAACAGATGTAGGAGCACTATTTGAGCTTCCTGCTTCAGGTGCCAAAATATTATGGTCTGGTTCTTGTTGTTGAGAATTGTTAATTCTTTTTTATTGATCTAGATACTAGAGCAGTACCATGAGAAGACTTGGACAGGAAGAAAGCAGAATTAAAATATTTCATTGTTGTGGCCCAAGGGAACAGATGTAGGAGCACTATTTGAGCTTCCTGCTTCAGGTGCCAAAATATTATGGTCTGGTTCTTGTTGTTGAGAATTGTTAATTCTTTTTTATTGATCTAGATACTAGAGCAGTACCATGAGAAGACTTGGACAGGAAGAAAGCAGAATTAAAATATTTCATTGTTGTGGCCCAAGGGAACAGATGTAGGAGCACTATTTGAGCTTCCTGCTTCAGGTGCCAAAATATTATGGTCTGGTTCTTGTTGTTGAG